GTGATAGTGTTCACTACCTCCTGGGGTAGGTCACCTAGAACCTCCGCGTCCCGTCCAGGGACCAGACATGAAGTTTCCATAGGTCTGGACGCTGGTGCCACAGGGTGCCCCATCTCTGAGTCGAGCGCAGACCACCTTGTCGGTTGATGTACGCAACGGTCGCCGTGTTGTCCGTTCTGACCAGCATGTGCTTGCTTCGTAAGCACCCTTTGAGACGGTTCAAGGCAAGGCGCACTGCTAACAACTGTAGGCAAGTGATATGCCAGTGCAGTTGGGGGCCCGTCCATCCCCCCGACACTGCGTACCCATTGTACATGGCCCCCCAGCCGGTGGTGGAGGCATCCGTGTAAACCACAGCATGCCTGGAGACCTGTTCTAGGGGCACTCCTGCCTGGAGGAACGCAACTCCATACCGAGAAAAGAGATCCTCTGCGTCGGGGAGAGTTTGCTCTTTTCCCAGTTGACCTGAAGGCCCAACTGGCTGAGGTGCGAAAGCACCAAGTCCCTGTGTGCACACAACTGATGCTGAGACTGAGCTAGTATGAGCCAGTCATTGAGGTAGTTGGGAATGCGAACGCCCTGTTCTCTCAGGGGAACAAGGGCTGCCTCCGCAACTTACATGAAGACACAGGGCGACAGGGACAGCCCGGAGGGCAGGACCTCGTACTGATATGCTCGTCCTTCGTACGCGAACCGCAGAAATGGTCTGCGGCGCGGAAGGATCGACACAAGAAAATGTACGCATCCTTCAGGTCGATTGCTGCAAACCAATCTCGGGGACGGATGTACCCGAAGATGCGTTTCTGCGTCAACATCTTGAACGGTAACCGGCGAAGGGCCCGGTTCAAGACACGCAGATCCAAGATTGCTCGTAACCCACTGCCTTTCTTGGGTACAATGAAATAAGGGCTGTAAAACCCTGTATTCATAGCGGCTGGAGGGACCGGCTCTATTGCATCCTTCGCGTGAGTAGGGCCTTTGTTGACGCTCTCGAACTGCCCGCTGCTGCCTGCTGGCGATGGAGGAGGATGAGTGTGGTCCGGTGCTGGTCCGTCCGTGACTTTCCGTGCCCTCCTGGGACCCAGGGACAGAGAAAACCGCCTTCACCATCCCCCAAAGAGCAGCTTCCTCCCTCTCTGGGTCACCCGTCCCTGGGGCCTCTTGATCTTTCGCTCATATCAACCAGACACAGCCAGAGATGGCACTCCTGGACCACAAGTGTGGACATCGCACAACCCAGAGAACTCGCGGTGACCTTCGTCGCTCGGGCTTCTCCACAGGCCGTATAAGCATCGCTGGACAGGCCAGACGAGTACCTACAGACCCGGGAGGGGAGGCACGGTTCGCCCTGCCGGGTGGATGCGGTGTTAGTACACAATTGCATCGCAACCGGCCGCTCCACCGGGGGGACCCTTGTATACCCCCTAGCTGCACCACCGTCGAGGGTGGTGAGGGAGGAGGAACCAGCAGGGCGGTTTCCGACAGTAAAAGATCCCGTCCATGACCTGGTG